GGTATTTTCAATAACCTCATATGCATGCAAAGCTGAACAGTGAATAAGGAAGATTATAGAAGAATTGATGCTTTTGAGTTATGGTGTTGGAGGAGAATATTGAAAGTTCCATGGGCTGCCAAAAGAACAAACAGATCTGTGTTGGAAGAAATGTAGCCAGAGGCCAAGGTGCCTAACTTCATTTCTCATACTTTGGACATTTTGTGAGGCGGGACCAGTCACTGGAGAAGGATATCGTGTTTGGTAAGGTGGAGGGTCAGAGAAAAAGAGGAATACCCCCAGCGACATGGATTGGCAATGTGGCAGCATCAATGGACTCAAGTGTGGCAGCAATTGTGAGATTGGCCCAGGATCGCACGGTGTTTCATTCTGCTATGCAAAAGCTCTCTATGAGTCGGTACCAACTTGATGGCACCTAACAACAACAACATAGCATTCCTATGCTTAGGAATATGAAAAGGGCTTGGATTTCCTGGGCACTGAAAATCAGAACAACACTAGTTAAGTGGACAACCTTGTTTAGGTCATTGCACTCTCTAAGACAGGTGGACTCAAGCTGAACAAGGTTATTAAAATTCACCTGGGTTCAAAGACATTTCAACTTTTCACTAGGGAAAGCTTATAGGTGGAAAACAAACAGTGCCATTTATGGAACTACTGTGCTTCTGGGGCAGGGAGCCAGATGGATCATAGAGTGAGTGGAAGTCAGACTCTTCTCATTGCCTCTCAGTGCTCTTCTTTGCCAGACTTTTTTCCAGTTCCATCCTTTGCTGAGAATTTACTCCAGTTAGGTAAACTGAATCAGAATCTACATTTTAACAAAATTCCAAGGTGGTTCTTATAGAGCCCATGTTAAAATATTTGGGGCAGAAATGCAAATTCCCTGCAGAGGATAGAACCAGAACTGGAAAAAAAGTTGTTGAAAGCCTTGCTTGGGAGGCTGCTTAGAGGAGAACATCTGAAAGTGGTGTTTGAAGAGAGTAAAAACAATGTGTCTATCTCCCACTCACCTGATGAAAAACCCAGGGAGGACCTTATAACACATCTGGGCCACTGCAAATGGAGTAAAAATCTACTGCATCTCTAATTATAATCAACAGAATAGTTACTAATTTTATCTAAGAAAATGTGTGGATTCTCTGAACCTTATAAATTTTGACCCAGCGAATATTTATGCCATTCCAACACATCTTACACTTCAGAGGAGCTTTTAAAATGTTCCCTGCAAAGCTAATAATTTTTCTATTACCAAATGGAAATATTGCCCAGTATTCATCTTAGACATCTTTTTTTTTCCTGGTAGAACATACTGCCTCCCACTCATAGATGTTTAGCTAGGCTCCAGGTCATTAATTCTACAATAAATCTCCTGGCTTGTGAAATATCTTAGTCCTTTTCTTTCTTGCTGTTTGAAAACATTCTAGAATGTTTTATTTGGGATATAACTAATAACAGTGAGCTGAGATTGTGGCTGGCTTAGTTCTGCAAGGCAAGAAGGTTTACAGGTATGCGTCTCTTTATCTCGTTTTGCCTTATTGCACTTTGCGGAAACAGTGTTTTTCACAAAGTTTGTGGCAACCCTGCAGTGAACACGTCTGTTGGCACCATTTCCTCAACAGCATGTGCTCACTTCATGTTTCGGTGCCACATTTTGGTAATTCTCATATTTCAAACATTTTCATAATGCTATTGCACACTTAATAGACTATACAGTACAGTGTAAACATAACTTTCATATGCACTGTTGTTATTAAGTGCTGTTGAATTTAAACCTTCAGGAGGTATTGAATTAAAGACTGTTGAGTTAAAGACTTCAGGAGATATTTTTGGTTTAAGGTTTAAAGATGATCTCAGGACAACAGTTTCAGGGGTTCATCCAACCTTCATGGCTCCAGGAAATTTGGAGTCAGTGACTAATACGAAGACATCTTAATGGTATGAAATAACTTAATGCTTTGGTGTGGGAGTTAGCACTCCAAAGAGCAGTACCATAGTATCCTTTGCCATTAGAGGCCTTGAGTGCTACTGGGAAGTTCTTTTGTTAAATTTTATATTATTCTGTTTTGTTTTTGCTATGTTTGCAATTTACTTATTATTATTATTATTTATTGTAAATTGAGTGAAGGTTTAGGGGGCAGACCATCAGTTTTACATTCAACAAACCATACACTTTGCTTCACTACATGGTTGCAATCCCCTCCATGTACTAACAGTTAACAACATTTACCTCTATTCACTTTAACTGTTGCATTCTTCCCTGTGACTCCTGCTACCGTCATCTTTCTTCCGCTAACCTCCCTCTTGTTGTGTATTGCCTGCCTTGTCACCCATGTTTAACGTATGTCTACCTCTAGACTATGAATGAACTTCCCTTATACCCCTCCCCACCCCAATAACCATCATAGATTTTTTTTTTTTAATCAAGAAAACCTTTTCTTTTTTTTTAAACCTTTTACAACATTGGTCTCATACAATGTTTGTCTTTTTGTGATTGACTAATTTCACTCAGCATAATGTCCTCCGGTTTCAACCATGTTGTGCGGTGTTTCTCAGATTCATCCTTATTCTTCAACATTTTGCGGTATTCCATTGTGTGCATGTACCAAAGTTTGTTTCCATTCTTCTGTTGGTGAGCATTTAGGCTGTCTTCATCTTTTTGATATGTCTTTTATAGACAGCATATTGAAGGGTCCAGCTTTCTTATCTATTCTGTTCTTTATGTTTCTTGACTGGCACATTTAATCCATTGAAATTGTTAGTGGGTATTAATAGATTGCTGTCATTTTTCTGTGTCTTTTTTTGTGGTGCTACTGGAGTCCTGGTGTAGGCTAATGCGTCAGACTGCAAAGTTGTTTAAACTGCATGGTCAGTCGTTCAAGCTCACCAACTGCTCCTTGGAAACCCTATACAGGGTCACTATGGGTCGGACCTGACTCAATGGTACTTAACAACTGGATTCTTTGTTTCACAAATTTTTGATGCTGAGTTAATTTTGTTTGTGGATTTTCTTGTCCTTTTCATTTCTGTTGTGTTAATATTCACTAACTCTCTGATTTTCCTCTTTAAAAAAAAAATTTGATGTGCAGGTATATGATTTCTCTTTGAGGTTATCCTGTAATTTATTAATTTTTTTCCCTTGCTTAAAACTGTCTGTTTTATTTTGAACTGTTTTTGACTTCCTTGCCATTTGGAAGCTCTGTATCTGTACCATTCCCTCTTTGTGTTTTGTAATTGACTTCATTATACGTTGATATCTCTGGTTCCCTAGTTTTTGGAGTCCTGTTGTGGTACTGTGGGTTAATGCTCTGGACTGCAAGCTTGGTTTGAACTGCAAGGTCAGTGGTTCAAGCTCACCTGATGCGTCTTGGAAATCCTATACAGGGTCGCTATGAATCAGACCCAACTTGACAGTAATTAACAACAACAACAGATTTGTTTTACTTTAAATATTTCCATACTTTATTTCTCTGACTTCTACAGTTTACTTTAAATACTTCTGGATTGGAGTCCTGGCGTGTGGATTAGTGCACTGGACCACAAAGTCTGTTTGAGCCACAGGGTCAGTGGTTCAAGCTCATCAGCTCCTGGGAAACAACCCTATACAGGGTCGCCATCTATAGGAACCAAATCAACAGCACTTAACAATAAAAACAATATCTGAATTCGGAGCTCTGGTAATGTAGTGGTTATGAGTCGGGTTGCTAACGTCAAGGTTAGCAGTTTGAAACTACCAACCATTCCTCAGGAGAAAGATTAGGCTTTCTGCTCTTGTAAAGATTTACCATCTTGGAAACCCTATGCAGAGTCACTATGAATGGGAACCTATGTCAACGCACACCACCATCAAAGCACACTGGATTGAGTTCTGGGTGGTGTTGCTATGAATGGTAATCTCAGGTTGTTTGCTGTTGTTGGTTCTCAGTCAAAGGAATATTCTTTAGGATTTTTGCAAAGATGATGTCATCATTATAGATTTTGTTTATTTCTGTTTATCAGGAAATGTCTTAATTACATCTTCATATTTGAGGGGCCAATTTGCTGGTATATGATTCTTGGTTGGCAATCTTTTTCTTTTAGAATTTTATACATGTCATTCCATTGCCTTCTTTCCTACATGGTTTCTGCTGAGAAATCAAGGCTTAGTCTTATTGGTTCTCCTTTGTAGGTAACTTTTCATTTTACCTGAGCTGCTTTCAGAATTCTTTTCTTAAAATCATTGATTTTGGAAAGTTTGATTATGATATGTTTTAATGATTTTCTGTTGGGATCTGTCCTGCTTGGAGTTTGCATAGATTCTTTTTCTTTCTTTTTTAATGGTTTTAGTCTCTTAAATATCTCTTCCAGCTGTAGGTGATGAAATGCTTAAGGCTCCATTTCAAATATTGGCACCACTAGGACCATAGTCTCTCCCTTTATTTCAATCAAAAGTCAAGATTTTTGACTCTCGTTTTTATTCTTCAATCCCACACAAGTCGTTTTAACTGTGGAAGTCACTGAAAACTGGCGCTGTGGGTTAATGCGCCAGACTGCAAAGCCGTTTGAACTGCAAGGTCAGTGGTTCAAGCTCACCAGCTGCTCCTCGGAAACCCTATACAGGGTCCCTATAGGTCAGAATTGACTCTGCAGCACTTAACAACAACAACAATGAGCTCCAACCCTGCTCCAGCCTCTCCAGGAGCACTACAGGATGAATATAAATATGTAAGTAAGAGGCATTCGCAAATAACTTTAAAGGCATTTTATTTTTAGATAACCTCACATTTTTTTTTTCCTTTAAAAAAAAAAAAGAAGCCTCTGCTCCAAATAAATCAAGGTCTCAAAATGCCATCAGTCTCATTTTGTCCAAGTCCTGGAGTTGTGTGGATAAAGCAGCAGTCAGCTAGGATGACAGGTGACACGTCCAAATAATTGCCACATTTCCCACTTCTATAGCATCTTTAAAGAAAATCATATATGGGGTGACACCATTTTCACAATAATCCAGCAGAGCAACCATCCCATCAGGATTCATGTTTCCACCAAATAAAGAACAGGTCGTTTTTGAAATTCACTGGGATGTGCTTGTTTGGCTCTGTAGCCCCTGTCATAAAGGGTTTTACTCTTTCTGGTTTCTGTTCTTCAAGTTTGCCTTTGATTGATTTCATGTCATCTTTGATGTACTTCTTGTAGGCTTCGTTTGTGAAGCTGGTTCCCTGCAGGTGATGGTTCATGACAATGTCAATCCCCGTGACTACTGTGCTTTCGGTACCTTCACCGTCTGTGGCTTCAGCTGAGGCGTTTCCACCGATGAGCAACTCATTGATGTTACTCTTTGTCCTGTTGACCAGCTTATCTTCCCCTCCACTTCCAGGCACAGCCTGTCCGTGATCTCCCGGATCTTGTAAATGTCGTTGAACATCTCATCATGACTGATGAGGTCTGGGTAGATGATCATGATCGCGGCTGGGGAGACTGCGCTAGCTTAGCAGGAGCCTGGAGCTCGGGGTTTGAGCAGCGCAACCCAAGCAAGCACTCGGAGGGATCGGGAGCGAGTGGAAAAGCTCGTATAGATTCTGTGTGCTTATCTTTTCGGTTTTCATGATGCTAGGGAAGTTGTCTCTCAATAACTCTTTGGTAGTTTTCTCTGTGCTTGTGTCTTGTTCTGGAATTCTGATCACTCATATATTGTTCTTCTTCTTGGTGTCCCACAAAACTCTTAGGCTTTCTTCAGATTTTTTTCATTTTTTCTTTCTTTCTGATTGTTCAACTAGCATACTAGTATTGAGAGATTTCTCTACAAGCTCGCTAATTTGGGCTCCCAATGTTTCAAGTCTTCCCCTTTGTCCTTTCAATGTATTGTACGTTTCTGAGATTTTAGTATTAATCTTCTGGATTTATAATTGCAGTTTTATATTGTTTCAAAAATTTGTATTTATTTTTTTCTGTTTGCTCTTGTTGAGTTATCCTGAATTCTTCTAAAGTTTTTATTGTGTTCTCCTTGTTTTTATTGATCTTTCTTTTGATCCTTTGAAACTACCTAATTATCACTCTTTTGAATTATTTTTTAGTTAGTGTTATTACCTTTTCTTTCCCAGAAATGTTTTCTAGCTCAGCATCTTGGTCATTTGTTTGCATCATTCTCTCTTGTTTCTTTGTGTAATCTGAAATTGTCCATTGTCTCTGGAGCAATGTGAGCTTGTTGTATTTGTAAAAACCAAACAGTACAGTTGTTGGACCCTGAATGGAGAAATTTCTGCTGGCCTCCTGCAATTTCAGCTCAGAGGTTATTGTGGAAGGGATGTGGCAACAGAGTTCCTGGTCCTAGATGGAGTGTTTATAAGCCTTTATATTATCACTCATTTCAGAAGTAGTTCATGAGTCACTTGATAGAGCATGGTTTGCACTGGGGGTGAGTGAAGTGAGGAATTAGCCACACTTCTGATGACCAGGTGAGCATGGGGAAAAAGAAGAAATCACACCTTTTCCGTTGCCCACACTAATCTGCTTTGCCAAGCCTCCCTCCACCACCAAAGCTGCTCACAAAAGAGTTGAACCACATCTGCGCTGCTCACAAAATAGTTGAACCACATCTGGCCAGTGGTTCACTAGTCAGTCTCCCTCTTTTGGCCTCTCTCCCAGCAAGTACTCGATCCAATTCTTTAATTTTTCTTCTGACGTTCAGGATACCAGAATTTTCATCTGTGTCTATTATATTTAGTCTCTTATATCTTTGTTACAGAGGTTCCATATAGTACACTTGCCTAGGTTGCCATCTTGCCAGAAGTCAACACTAATTTTCTTGTGGCCAATAAATAAACTTTTGGAAGAAAGCCTCTTTGCTGTCCTGCACATTGGTCATCTGCCTCTGCTGACTTCTTTTCTTAGGTCTTGGGAGCTCTCATTTGGAACACACCCAAGGCTATATCTGCTGAGAAGCTTACTGCCTGTTCTAGGACCAATGACATCTTCCTTCTTAATCTTAGCTTCTTGGTCCCAGTATGGCAGTCACAATTGCCTGTTGATATCTACAAAAATGGTGATGAAATCCTAGTATGCTGAATCCAGTTGCCATGACTGTTCTGTCATGTCTCCATAACCGCTTGCCCATAGAAGTAGCAGCAAGGAGAAAGCTTCTATCATACCTATGTGACCCATTGTTGTTGTTGTTGTTAGGTGCCATCAAGTCAGCACTGACCCATAGTGACCTTATGCACAGCAAAATGAAACACTGCCCGATTCTGGGCCAACCTTACTACTGTTGCCACACTTGAGTCCATCGATGCTGCCACTTGGGAAATCCAACTCATTGGGGGTCTTCCTCTTTTTCTCTGACCATCCACCTTACCAAACATGATATCCTTCTCCAGCAACTGGTCCCTCCTGAAAATATGTCTGAAGTCTGAGAGATGAAGTTTGGCCATCTTGGCCTCCAAGGAGCGATCTGGCTGCACTTCTTCCAAAATGGATCTATTGGTTCTTTTGGCAGCCCATGGCACTTTCAATATTCTTCTCCAAAAACAATAACTCAAAAGTATCAATTCTTCTACGGTCTTCCTTATTCACTGTCCAGCTTTCGCATGCATATGAAGTTATTGAAAATACCATGGCTTGGGTCTGGCACACTTCAGTCCTCAAGCTGACATCTTTGCTTTTCAACCCTTTAAAAAGGTCTTGTGCAGCACATTTGCCTAATGCAATACTTCGGTTGATATCTTGACTGCTGCTTCTGTGAGTGTTAATAGTTGATCCAAGAATAATGAAGTCCTTGAAAACTTTCATTTTTTCTCTGTTGATAAGAATGCTGTTTATTGGTCCAGTAGTGAGGATTTTTGTTTTCTTTACATTGAGATGCAATCCATACTGAAGGCTGTGCTCTTTGATCTTCATCAGTAAATGTTCTAAGTCTTCTTCACTTTCAGCAAGCAAGGTTGTATCATCTGCATGTAACAGGTTGTTAATGAGTCTTCCTCCAATCTTGATGCCACATTTTTCTTCATATAAGCCAGCTTCTCTGATTATTTGCTCAGCATCCAGGTTGAATAAGCATGCTGAAAGAATACAACCTTGACACATAGTTTTCTTAATTTTAAACCCTTCTGTGTTTCCATGTTCTGTTCGAACAACTACCTCTTGGTCCAGGTACAGATTCCTCATGAGCACAATTAAGTGTTCAGGAATTCTCAAACTTTGCAATGTTGTCCATAGCTTTTCATGATCCACACAATCAAAAGCCTTTGCATAGTCAATAAAGCACAGGTGAACATTTTTCTGGTATTCTCTGCTTTCAGCCAAGATCCATCGGACATCAGCAATGATATCCCTTGTTCCACAGCCTCTTTATCTTCCCCATATTCCTTTAATTGGCAAAAACTACTTTACATTCAGACCCTTAGATGCCAGGAATTCTGGGAGATGGAACAGTATTAGCTTTCCAACTATTGTAGTTCAGGAAAGCCTAGAGAAAGAAGTGAAATGGATATAGACTACCAATCAACCACAGCCAGCACAATCATGCCTAAGATTTTGCCATGACGTGGAGAGCTTTAGGTGTTGGAGTGAAGATTCTCTGATGAAATCAGTATGTGATAGGAGAGCCCTTTGAAATAGTTTGTGTAGTAATATATGTTCAAATCTATCCTTTGGGGAAATTCTTTTGCAAGACTTGATGACCTGCACACATTTCAAAGTTGTTACTGTTGTTGTTAAGTGCCATCGAGTCGGTTCTGACTCAGTGACCCTGCATAGGGTTTCAGAGCAATGATTAGTGGGTTTGAACAACCAACTTTGGGGTCAGCAGTCCAGTACTGATCCTAAAGTTCTGCACCAGGACTCTGGCTTCACAGTAGGATCACCAATAAGGAAGCTATTATGAAACAAAAACATAGAGACTCTGAGCTATGGTTTTGTAAATATAGAAAGGCTTATAAGAAACAGTTAAGATACACAATATATAGGGTTGAATTTTAGGAACTTGTCAAATAATGTTTTGTCAGTGAGAGGACTAGATAAGATACTGGGAGTTATACCTGTTTCAGAACTTAGAGTACACAGTGACTATAGGAAAACTAGAAAATAGACACTAGAAATCATTTGAAGTGGGGGATTAGTGGTGGCTTGGATCAGAAATAATCCTTTTGATTTGGAAATGGTGAGTATGAGACATCAGTTAAATGTCTAAATGCTGTCCATTTAAAAAATGAATCTATAGCAGGTTTGAGAGTTCATGGCATCGAAGTTCTGTGACAACAAATGACATCATCAAGCAAGACAATGTAGCTGGGGAAGAGAGACTGACTTGGACAAGAAGTTTGGGGATACTAATATTAAATGATAGGCAAGGAAGAGACTTAAGAGACTAATATTAAATGATAGGCAAGGAAGAGACTTAAGAGAAAATCAGGCTGGAAGTGAAGGGAGGAAAGGGAATTCACCAGTATCACATGCCTTGGAAGGTCAGATAGGTTACAGTGGAGAGAGACTGCTGAGCCTGCCAGGCAGCAAAACAAGGCAATGCTTGATGGCCTTATAGGGATATTGGCCAAATTTCAGAGTTTAGTGAGTACTAAAAAGTGGGGTAAAAATCACTCTCCCCTGTGCTATGCGCAACTCTGGGGGAGAGGCTGGAACTCTTGTGTATATAGGTGGCTGGGTGACAGCAGCACGGGTTTGACATAGGGTTAGGCACAAAAGCAAAATATTAAGTTGACAGCCCACAACTTTGAAGCCAGTTTAATAAAGCAATTCCCCCAAAGGCCCCAGATGACTAGTTGATGACAAGCCATTCTTTCACGTGAGGCTGGAACAGTAACTTTGATAAGGCCCCTTTAAATACTGGTGACACTGAATGTCCCTTAGGGATCATAGGGAAGATGATTCCACAAGCAATTATTATCAGGATACCGTTCACTCTCCACAGAATTTGGCAGGTCCTCAGATGCTTCGTTCCAACTCAGGATCTGCACTCTTCAGATTAAAGAGCTGTTACAACTCTCTGTTTATTTTAGAAAAGATTAATGGTTCCCCCACCTCGTCTCTCAGGGACAGACTTTAGTCTGTCTAGGGTGAGTCATTAAATATATTGATTCAACCACTCTGGCCACAAGATTACAGATATAAAATCATCCGATTTTGACAAAAAACAGCTGCAGCCTTTCTTATCATTTTGAGTCCAAAATCACATGTATATATAAAGACAGATGGGAAATATGACTGGTAAGGGTTTTGAGATAGAGAAACAAGCCCTCCACTCTTATCCACAATCTTCCATGTGCTCCCAATTTGTCACCTTCACCAAGATGTCTCTCAATTAATTCATGTCAAGTCAGTTTAACTCAATTCAACTAACTCTCAGGAGTTACTACCATGAGTAATTTGCTGTGAGAAAATGAAAAACAGGATCTTTACTCACAAGAAGTTGACAGCCTATAAGGGTGAGTAAACCAGAATTCATTAAGA